TGAATGGCGGCTGTGGTCATGGAAGGAGAATTTCTGCCAACATCCCAGCCCGTCAGTGCCTCTGCTATTTGAGAACGAGAACACAACCAGTCCTCCCATGGGTGCCTTGCCCTAGCCCCAGGCCTTCCTGGGGCTCCTCGGAACCATGGGCATCTGGAAGGTGAGACCAGGCCATCACTGCCCCCTTGGAGCCACATGCTGGATCCTGGGATGTGCAAGGGCTGAAACACTGCGGCCAGGAGTCATGGGTTACTTTTTGTTTTATTCTGGCACGTGGTCAGGGGCCAAGTGGAGGCTGGGCAGGGATGGAGGGTGGATCTGCAGTGTGTGCTGTCCCACTCAGGACAGGGCCCCGGAAGCAGCCCCCACACCAGGTGGAGGTGGAGGCCGCAGAGCAGAACGTCTCCCGCATCTGCCACAAAGTCTACTTCCCCAACGACACCAGTGAGGTGAGGCTCCTTCCACAATGCAGGGCTCCTGGCGCCCCCGCAGCAAGTCTCAGGCCTCTGGAGGCTGTGGTGGCCTCCCCACCAGCCTGGCGTGCTCCTTGGTCACCAGCAGAGCTGTTTCCAGGGTCCCTTATGGATCATCTCACTTGTACCACCCTCGCAACCCTCAGCCTCCCTCAGGGACCAATGTTGCCCCGGGGGTACAGACACGAGGGCCAGGGGTCTTGGGCAGCCTGCCAGGACAATTGGAAGTAGGGACTGTGCCAAGGTATGACTTGAGGACAGAGAGATGTGAGAGGGTAGGTGTAACTCGGGGCCCCTAGGGGCTTTGCCCATCCCAGGGTACAGGTGAGCAGGTGCCACCACTGGCTGTGCCTTATGGACAGGGCCTACATGGCTGCTGGTGAGGGCAGAGGGGCTGGGCAAGAGGGGGAGCTGAGCGGAACCCAACTGTGACCAGCAGGTCGAGGAGTCCAGGTGGGTGATGCCACCTTCTTATCCTGTGCAAGGGCACGTTGCCCTTTGTGACCTGGGGATGAGCAGCCCCTGTGGGGGCAAGTTTCCACAGTCCGACTGCAGAGCTCTCAGAGCAAGGTCTAAAGCCCAGGCAGTGAATGTTGTAACAATGTCACCATCTGGCCAGTGTCCTGTGGGGAGGGAGGCCTGTCTTTCTGGAGACAGGACTTGTCCAGCCCAAGCTTTATGAAGGTGTCAGAGCACCAGGCTGTGAAGGCACATCCGGCCACCCCATGTTCCAAGATGTCACACCGGGCGGCCGAGGCTGGGCTCTGAGGCCTCTCTGCCACCACTCTGACTAGATGCTGGAGGTGGGCACCAACACGCGTGTGCGAGATGTGTGCGAGAACATTGCCTCCAAGCTGCAGCTGGCCTCGTGGGAGGGCTGCAGCCTCTTCGTCAAGATCGCAGACAAGGTGAGCCTGCCTGGTGCAGGGCCCGAGGGTCGGTGCTGGGCAGTGGGGCCGAGGATGGTGTCTGACAGCACCCGAGCAGGGCTAGGACGAAGGGAGCAGTCTCAGAGCCAGTCCAAGCCTACACACTGGTGGCCACAGGCAGCCCAAGGTGGCCAGCCTACCAGGCCACAGGTGGCCGAGGGCCCTGCTGGAGGATAGTCCCCTGGAAGTCACTCCACCTGCCTGCCTCCCTGCACCTCACCCACCCCAGGTTTTCAGCCAGAAGGAGGGAGACTTCTTCTTCGACTCCTTGAGGCAGGTGTCTGACTGGGTGAAGAAGAACAAGCCCCAGAAAGAAGGTGAGGGGGCTCCCTTGGTGGGAGGTAGGGAGCTGAGATGGAGGGGCAGGAGCAGGACTCTGCCTCTCTGGGCAGGCTTTGTTCATTCCCCCATATGTCCCTGGGAGGTGAGTACAGTCAGGCCCTGGGACCAGGCAGTGAGGGCCCTGCCCTGGGGACACTGCCCTAGAGCAGATGACTGTACTTCAGGGTGAATAAGGAGGTCCAAGGACATTCCAGAGGCTGCCAGGTGGGGTGGGTGTGGGCTGGGACTAGGCCTGGTGCCCACTGCTGCCCCTCGCCCAGGGGCCCCCGTGACGCTGCCCTACCAGGTGTACTTTATGCGGAAATTGTGGCTCAGCGTGGTCCCAGGAAAGGATGTGAGCGCAGACACCATACTCCATTACCACCAGGTACCCAGGCCGCGCCCCCAGGGGGTCACCCCATTCCTGCCCTGAGACTAGAGGAGGCAGCAGGTCTAGCCCTGGGCACCAGCACATGGCCGGCCCAGCTCCTACAGAGTCCTCTCAAGATGGGCAGGCCAAGCTCCTGAGGATTCTGAAGGCAGGAGCAGAGGGTAATAGTGTTTGGGGACAGTGACCGTGCAGGCACCAGCAGCACAGCAGCTGGGGGGTGGCACCAGGGAGTATCCTGCCTCTGGAGTCGTTTCAGGGGCTGGAAATCCACCCTCTAGTTGTAGTCTTTCCTGGATCGGTGGGCTAACACCCCGGGCCCCCAAACCTGAGCACAAAGGAGAGGTGGGGTGGGCAGGCTGGCAGCCTGAAGCCCAGCGTGTCCACCACTAGGAGCTGCCCAAGTACCTGCGTGGCTTCCACAAATGTTCGCGGGAGGATGCCGTCCATCTGGCAAGCCTCATCTACAAGGCCCAGTTTGACAACGACCGGTCCCAGCTGGCTAATGTCCCCAAGATCCTGAGGGAGCTGGTACCGGAGAACCTCACGCGCCTGATGTCCTCAGAGGAATGGAAAAAGGTCCTCATGAGGGCTGGGGAGAGGGCCCTCAGCTGCTCTTCCTACCGGGAACCTCACCTGGGCGCCAGGCCCTGCCTGAGCAGGAGAGGCACATCGAGGCGCACGGAGGGTGGGCTGGTCTGCCCGTCCCCACCCTGTCCACAGCACCGACACTGTCTTCCCCACTCCTGCCCTTCACACTCTCATATCAGCCTTGGGCAGGTGCTTCTCTGGCCCAGGACCTTGGCCTTAGAATACCCAGGCTCCTCGTGGAGGGCCCATGTGGGCAGGGTACCCTGCCCAGGCCCTCACTGGCCTTCCCCTTCTCCAGAGCATCCTTCTGGCCTATGACAAGCACAAGGACAAGACGGTAGAGGAGGCCAAGGTGGCCTTCCTGAAGTGGATCTGCCGCTGGCCCACCTTTGGGTCTGCTTTCTTCGAAGTGAAGGTAGGCCTGGCCCCAGGCTGGGCCTCCCCACCCAAGCAGGCCCCTCTCCACTCTGACTGCCCTAGCACACATCTCAGGGTGAGGCCAGCCACCAGGTTTGGAACAGGTGTTTGTGTACATGCATGTGCCTCAGTGAGCCCCTAAAAGACAGCCACCTGGCCTCCCAACTGGACTGTGACCACCATGCCCCTGCCTCCCCAGCAAACCTCAGAGCCCTCCTACCCGGACATCGTCCTCATCGCCATCAACCGACACGGCGTTCTGCTCATCCATCCCAAGACTAAGGTAGCGCCAGGGGCCTAGGTCACCGTGCAGGGGGAATGTGGCCACCTGCTCAGCATGTCATGCCTGCCATCCTGTCCCCCATGGGCTCTGCAGGCCTCCGGGCTGGCCGGGCCCTGGTTGGCTCCCCACCCACCACCTCTCTGCCCCCAGGAGCTGCTCACCACCTACCCCTTCACCAAGATCTCCAGCTGGAGCAGCGGCAGCACCTACTTCCACATGGTGCTGGGCAGCCTGGGCCGGGGCAGCCGCTTGCTGTGCGAGACTTCTCTGGTGAGCCAGGCCCCTGCTCCTAGCCCAGACCCGCCAGACCAGAGGCACCAGGGCTGGGTTCTGTGAAGGGGCACAGGGGAAAGCTAAGTGATCCCCGGGGCTGGCAGCCCTGTGGCCTTGCTGCAGTTCTGCCATCATGGGCCCCTCTGAGTGGGGAGGGACGTGGCAGCCCCAACAGCAGGCGCCGTCCTCCCTCCCTGCCACACCCTGCTCAGCTGTGGTGTAAGGTAGGGACACCGAATGCTGCCAGGGTTGAGTTCACAGCCTGACAACCCCCTGTCCCCTGCTCAGGGCTACAAGATGGACGACCTGCTGACCTCGTACGTGCAACAGCTCCTGAGCACCGTGAGCAAGCAGCGGGGCTCCAAGGCGCAGGCCACTGCCAACTCCTAGTGGCGGGCGCAGGCTCTCCCACAGTCACCGTTCCTGATCTGGGGAGCTGGTGACAACTCCCCAGATCCCCTGGGCTCAGGGTCTGCCCTCAGCAGGCAGCCCTCCATGCTGCTGTCCCCCTAGACCCCCTCCTCAGCACCCTGGATGGGCCTCTGTCTCCTGGGCAGTGATCATGAGGCCAAAGGAGGGGCCTGAGCGGGGCAAGGAGTCTCAGCCCTCCATGCTGAAGATGAATGGCTGGGAGGAGCCCCTATCCTGGAAAGTCCAATAAAACTCAAAGCAGAGGGAGTGTGTCCGTGAAGGGCCAGGGTTGGGTGCCAGGTGGGCAGGAGGCCTGAGAGGACCTGCCCTGCAGAAGATCTCTTTCAGAAAAAGCAAAATGAATCGAGACTTCTTCAGTGCAAGGAATGGCGACTGTTGATACATTCCCCAGGACTGACTTCCCTCACTGTTTCTCCTTCCTCCCTTTCTCCCTTCCTTCCTGTTTCTTAGACTGGGGAGAGGGAGAGGTACCCGCAGGCCACCGAGGCCCCTCTGCACATCTTTTCTCCCTTCCTCTGGGCTCTGGACACTTGGACTACCAAAGAGGGTGAGGGTGTGGCTGCTTGTCCTCGGGCTGCTGGCTTCGTGCTAAGACAAGCCTGTTCCTGGACAGTGGGCAGAGCTGGACACAGGACCTGGAAGGCCCTATCTGAGTCCACCACCTCACTCTGCCACCATGCCAGCCTACATGGGCTCTGCTGTCTGGGCCCAAGGGTTCCTGGCTGGCCTGTCTCCAAGCCTGAGGACAGCCTGGCCTGGGGTGAGGCTAGCCTTGCAGGAACTCTTTCACCTGCCCGTTCTGAGTTCAACAACCCCAGCAGACATGCCCACATGGTCCCTACCCACCCCCACTGCCCCTCTCATCCCACAAACACACACTACTCAGGCCACTGTGCTCATGTGAATAGCCTTCATTGCATAAGCGTGAGCCTGATGCCAGGTCTGTGCTGACCAGGGGGGAAGTGTCCTTGCTGGTGGTGGGCACAAACCACTCCTCCTCACCCCGGCCTCACCCCAGCTGCACCCAAAGGCTCCTCGTAGGCCCTGGGTGAGGAGGGTGGGTGGCCAAGCCAGGATATCAGGAAGGCCGCCCGAGTGTTGATGGAAGGAGTGGGGCTCCTGCCCCTCCAGCTGGCTCCTGGGGGGTGGTGCAGGATTTGCTGGCCCAGTGTGGGCACAGGGGTCCCACAGGGCTGGGTGAGCAGCTCCACAGTCGGGGACAGCTCCCAGGGACCCCTCTGTGTGGCTCTGTCCCTGGGTCCAGATGGGCTGCCCTGGTATGGACACCTCAGTACACAGACACAGTGAGCCCAGGCTGAGCAGAGGCTCACCCGGGAGACTGTGACCAAGGCCCTGTGGGAAGGGGCAGGCCAGGACAGGTGGGGCTGGGAGCTGTGGTCCAAGCCAGGCAGGTGAGAGCAGGGTCCCACCTGCTCCTGACCCTGGAGGTTCATGAGCTGTAGCTGGTGGTCACAGGTAGATATGGTTGTCAGTCGTGGTCCCGGGCCTCCTGGGAAGAAAGGAGCCACAGCAAAGGAGAGAGACACGGAGAAGGCGAAGGCGGAGGTGCCGGAGCAGACAGGGAGGAAATGGGTGGGAGAGAACAGGAAGGGGGAGAAAGGCAGATAATGAATATGGGGAGCAGACAGAAGTGGGAGGCCCCAGGAGGAGGGAGGGAGCAGGGTGGGTGGGGATCAGGCAGAGCTTTCAGGCTGAGTTGAGGTCCACAGACTTGGGTTGGGCCTTGCGGGAGGTCAGCTCGGACAGCTTCTTCAGCCGCTTCTTCAGCTCGAGTGGAAACTTCTCGTAGCACCTCTTACACACGGGCTTCATGTCAAACTCCACAAACTTGTTCCTAGGGGGAGGCCAGCATCAGGAGGCCCCAGCCCCTCAGATTCTGACCTTAGGTGGGTGACCGTGGAGGAGGAGGAGCCAGCTTCCCTCAGCCCCTGGCTGCAGCCTCCCCAGCCCAGGCTGCTCCCAGCCAGCAGGCAGGCCCCAGGGTGGGCATCTGGCCAGAGGCCACAGCAGATTAGGAGGTAGGCCTGAGTCCTCCTTCCTTCCTAGAGACTTCTCTCAGCTTTTGACACTCCAGAACCCATGCACTCTGAGACCTGGGCCTGGACTCGCCTCTCGCAGCTCCAGCCAACCCACGGCCCTGCGCCCGAGGCTGCTGACTTCTTTGCCTTTGAATACTTATTCCCCGGGCTGGGATGCCCTGCCCTCCCAGACCCCAGGGTCCCTGGGTTGTGTCCCCAGCCTCCTGCAGTGT